TTTCTTGGGGCTCCAGGGAGACTGTCCTTTAATCTTCTTTTCTACTTTGTTAAGGGGGCTTTACCTTCTCTGTAAAGCCTCTCTGCTAATCAGCATTAATTTCGTTTAACTCTTGTGATGTCTGTCCTTTGCTTTACTGGTTGCGTTGCCACCTCCCAGTTAAAATCCAGGGCGAGTTTAGCAGGCGGGAGCAGACCGAGAAATGTTCCTCGCCCTAGTGACAACCTCCTGCGTCCTCCTTCGGTGTCTTTTTGCAGCCCAGCGGGGTCTACGTGGCTGTTTGTCCTCGGCCCCAGGGGTGGCACTTCCCCAAATACGAGGATCTTTATTAAATAGCCATGCTGCTCTCTTGCTGATCGACTCCAGCCCGCTGTGGTTTTGGTGATGTGTGGTGGTTAGGCTGGATCCAAAACCATTTTAGGAGTAACCCAGTGGAGGTGAGAGACCCTCTGTGCTAGATATTTGCAGATCGGCTGCTCTGAAAATGCCAAAATCTGAGCAAAGGGGGGAAAAATTAAGCTTCTGCTCAAAATAAATATGTACCTGTAATGTTACAGCTGCAAAGAGCTTGAAAACGTGATGCGCAAATGCCAAACAAGATTTAAAAAACCCATATCTGCCAGATCTGGTTTCTCAGGCTTTTTTGGTGCTTTACTTGTGGTTTTTGAGGGCTTCAGGCTGCCGGAGGGAGGGGAGCTGTGTTTGATGGGGCTGGGGAAGCAGAGAAGCCCGGTGAGGGCAGTAACATCGATGTGCTCCGGCTCGTCGTTATGAGCCATTTCTCAGGGTCAGGGCATGTGTTTAACCAAATCTGACGGTGGAGGAGAGGGTGCCCGCTCCCACATCTCGAGGCAGAGATCGTCTCTTCTGTTCACCCTCCCAGGACGTCTTCGTCCTTTGTCTCTCTGTCCCCAAGCAGCTGCCCCCAAAATCCCACACTGCGCCGGGTGGTGGGCGCCTTCCAAAAATGCTTCGTGGGAGTGTTTTTGCTCTGGGCTGGCACAGATTCCCAGTTTGCCAGCCGTGTATTTGTCGTCTGCCGCCCACGAGGACCCAGTCCCTTCATTTGGCAGTGGAAATGGCTTTTTTTTCCCCTCTAAATTACGACTTGTTTTCCTCTGCAGATCTCCAGCAAAAGAGAAGGGACACATTTGGAAGGAGGCAATAGGAAGCACCTGCAAGTCTCTTGGTTTATTTTTAGCCCATTTCCCAAAGAAGTGAAACCCGTGATTGCAACCCGTGTGTCTTTTCTCACTTTAGTCCTGAGTATTTTGAGGGAAAAAAAGGGAATAAGGTAAAGGAGAGCGTCTCCATCTTCCCCTGACACCCCACCAATGCTTTTTCAGGCAGAAAAGCACCACCAGCACCAGGAGACAGACAGGGCGGCACAGACCCTGCAGGCTCCCACCGTGGAGGTGCTGGGACGTGCTGTTTGGAGGTTCGGGTTCGGCTCTGCGTAGAGAAGGAGTTTCCCTGTCGCTTTCGTGGTGGATAAGTAGCCTAATCGTTGACCTGAGGCGAAGCAGTGGCTGGAGGCAACAGCCGTGCAGACTTCAGTCCTAAAGAAGCAGAGCGTTGTCTGCGGAAGGTGAAATCCTGGCTAAACCCAAGACTGAGTGATTTTCTAGAAGAGTTGCCTCAACCACACGACTGTTGGGTGTGTAGCAGCTTTTATAGCCTGGGTTTTACGCCCGATGTGCGTCAATGCTATCGAAGAGCCCATCCGTTCTTGGTGTCTGTGGGCATCACCACTTGATCACCGGCTAAAGACATGCTACGTGTGAGAAGGAGGGTGGGCTGGAGACCTCCTGAAGCCTGAACGAGCCGGTGGTCTCACCCAGGAGGTACCACACCTCCCTCTGACCCACAGATCGCAGCTCTTCCCCGTGTGCGTTTACGTTGGTGACATGCAGAGACGGCACGTGCCGGCACCCGTTAGCAGTGTTTGACTGCAGCTTCGCCAGCCGGGAGAGGGGGGAGCGGAGAAGAAACCATGAGAGAAGGTTAAAGACCAGCGAGCGGTTTTCATTGGCCATCTTAAAATTGCGGCTCGGTAATTAAGGCTTTAGACAGCTCACAAATAGCCCAGCTTTCTGCCGGCTCGCTCGTATTGCGAGCCTGTCACTGCTGTGAGGAGCTGGACTTTATATCTTGGCTGAAAGGGAGTAAAAGGAGAAGGTAAGGTTGTGTTGGAACCTGCTGCCAGCCAGCGCTCTGCCCATTCCTCTTACCCCTTCCCAGTTTGGCTGGGGTTGAATGAAATGATTTTAAGTGATTTGGGCAGCTTTAAATTCCCCTTTTCCTATCGGTGCCTGCTAAAGGGCAGATGAAATTTTGAGGGGGGAAGAGAGGAAAGCTCTTTTCCCTTTAGCTGGGATGTGAGCGTCCAAGCTGGGATCTGCAGGGACCGGGACCTGTGCATCCAGAGTGATTCTTGTTGGCACAGCCAGATCACGGTGGAGGGGAAGCTGTGAAACGCGTGGACAGAGTCCGTGCTGGCATCCGAATGTCACGTGCGGGGACTTCCAGTGATGGCCGAGGAAGCTGGTGCGTGATGAGAGAGCATCGTTTGGGAGCAGCCGTGTTGCAAAGTGTGCTGGGATGACTGGAGAGCTTCTCTTTCTCTTCTGGAGTGTTTCGCAAGCAATGGTGAGGGCTCACCCGTTTTATTGATGTGGGCGAGAGGAGCTGGTGGGGGCAGAAGAGAGGGAGATGCTTCGGACAACTCGGCAACAGCCCCTCTGCTTCCTTGCTGCAAACACGGAATAGCATTTCACTGGTGAGGGGGTGCCGGAGGGCGCGCTTTCCTCTCAGTATTGAACATTTAGGCAAAACCTGTGATATTTGGAAATTTTCAAAGCTCAAGGGCTAAAGGAAAGGTAGGACAGGTCCCCAGAGGGACTTCCTAGAGTTTGTTCAGCCTCGTGTTTTTTGGATGATGGAGTCTAATCCAGCGACGTGGCCCTGCACGTGCAATGGGTCCTGTCCTCTGAGGTCCCTGGAGAATGGCTGATCCTGGTGGGTCTCCGGGGCTGCGGCACCTGGAGAACACTTAAGAAAAGAAGAAAAAGACAGTTTCCTTTTGGATGGTGATTGAATGTGGTTAGTTTTACGCCCACGTTAGCTGCTGCTGGCATCTACTTAGACTTTGTGTATTAATACCCCGTCCTTTCCTACAGGCTTGGATAAACTCTGGTCAGACAAAGCATCCTCAGGGAACAGAGGGAAAACTCGTATAATTTGCTAGCTGTTGTGCTGCCTGATAGGTGTCTGTGTGACCGCAGAGCTGTGCGGGAGGGATTTAGGGACGAGGAGGTATCCGGCTCATGTGGGCTGGGGTCAGGGAGGTGGCACGGCTGGATTAGCCTGCTGCACGATCCGCGACTGATTTTGTAAGAGACGGCATTTGGCTTAAAGCTGTTTAAAAACTGTTTGGAAGGTCAGGGTGACATTGCTATGATCTAATTTAAAATGGAAAGGCATTATACTGTCTGTCGGCTGATAGCTCCTGAGGCCACACCCAGCCGACGGGGTTAAAAAAATGCATTTCCAGGGGCTTTACTGCTTGCAGAAAGTAATTGTTTTCAAATAGGAAAAATAGGCTTGTTTGATTTGTCCCACTGTCATCATCACCTCTGGTTCAGAAGCTGCTGAATTGCTGTTGATGGATGAGGGTCCCCAGTGGTACCCCCTGCACTGTCGTACAGGATTTTCTTCTTTATTCACATGTTGATAATTAACCTTTCTTCCTCCCCAGAGACGCAGGCACATGAAAACACCCATTTTTTTCATTCTGGCTGAAGAAACAGCTGCAGAAAGATCTGTGTGGCCCCAGGCTGTCTTTTTTTTTTTTCCTGTACTAGGAACAGAACCTTTCTTTCTTGCCATGAAACACCTTAAGCTGAAGTTAGTGCTCCAGGAAATATGGAAATAAACCCCTAAGCACACTCGTGTCCCAGATCACATCCGTGTTCAGACGACTGTTGCACGGCATTGGGGTTTAGTGGTGGAGGACGCGCTGGGCTTCTGGGTCTAGGCTTCAGTACGTTGTCTGCTCATGGTAAAGGCTTTGCGTGTGGATATTTATCCCAGGACTGATGGGGAACATCTAACTGCCCATCACAGGCTTGTAGTTTGTACTTGTTAGGATGTAAATGGGCAACATAAGAGGTGTGGCGATCTCCTGGCATCCCATCCCTTGCTCGGAGCTGCGTATGTGTAACGCTGGTGGATTTCTGCCCTTTTTTCTTGCCAGCATCTCCTGCAAACACTCCTTGAGGCCCTTCCTTGAGGGAAGCAGCTGTGACTATACCTCTGTCAGTAAGGACAAGTATTAAGCTGGCATTTGTGGATGTTCCATGGTGTTTCCAGATGCCAGCAGGCACAGACAGCATTTTTCTCCTGTTAGAGAAAGTTTTCCCTAGAATTTGGATCCCAGAGGGACCCAACCCTGGTGAGAGCAGAGCTAGGACAGAGCTGGCTTGAATTATCCCACTTTAGTGGCAACTGGAGCCCAGTTTCCTCCTCCTTCGGGTTATGTCCCTTGAGAACAAGTGTTCACGCTGCAGTGATACATGTCCTTTATTTGGCGGAGGTATTTGTTCCCCGGGTAAGAATTGGGGCCAGCAGCAAAGCAAGGTGAAGCTGTCCTGCTGCATTGCTGGTGGCCTCCGTTGTCTGCTTTCCAAAATGATATCTGAGTCCTCAGGGCTCCCAGCCCGGATCTTTTGCAGCAGTACAGAGGTGGCAGCTCCCGCTGTCTGCAGCCAGTTTGCTAATGTAATAGTTCTTTGAATTTCCTGATATTTCCTGCACTCTCAGTTACTTCCTATCGGCTCTAGGCTTGTGATTTCTCATTATTTCAGATTTGCCTGCAGAAACTTGTATCCGAGGGTAAAGGATAGATGCTGTTTTGTGGGGCTGAGCACCCCTGGGAATCCATAGCTGTGTTTTTTCATGGGTGTTTCTAACCAGACACGTATTTTTCCGTCTCTCTAGCCATGCAGGGACCGAGACCAGTGGTTCTGAGTGGCCCATCGGGTGCAGGGAAGAGCACTTTGTTAAAGAAATTGCTTAAAGATTACGAGAACATCTTCGGCTTCAGCGTCTCCCGTGAGTATCTGTACATCTCTGGGGAAGGGCAGTGGAGGGGTTCAGGGCTGCTAGCCCAGAGCCTGCTTCTGTAGCTCTATTCATGCCCCAAGTAACGGGCTTCCGTGGCTTGCCTGTGTCCTAGTCTGTCTGTGGGCTCTTTAGGATGTTTAAGTAAGTCAGGATGCCTTTTACTACTGGCATTGAGTGTCAAGTCTAAGATTTGTCTGGAATAGCACTCAACCAGGTCTGGTGACTCCCCACACCTCCAAACGCAGCTCAGAGAGGTGATGAGTTTTTTCGGAGTGATTCTTGATTCTGAAAGTAAGAAAATCCCCCACACACCTCTGTTTCAAAAGCCAATTCTTTCCATCCACCTGCGGGAGCTGCTGAGGATTTTAACAGCCCAGGGGCTGCACACCAGAGTCTCAGATTTAACATTAAAGGGTTCCGTGAAGCCCATCTCATTACCGGGTCAGTCAGTGAAACAGTTCGCCCCATCACCTGCGTACGTTCCTCCTCCTGCCATTGCTCTGGTGGTTTGTTGACTTTTTCTACGTCGGTCACTAAGCGCTGGCCAAGGGTCCTTTTTTTCTACCTGGGGTCGTTCCCTGTAATGTGAAAATAACCCCTGGCTGGCACCGGCTCGATCCACTCACGCCTTCCCGCAGGCTGCAGGCAGTGCTGAAGTCCTCCTGCGTCCGCAACAGAGTAAGTGCAAGGAATTTTTTTCAGGCAGCTTGCCTGTTGCAATACTAATTTTGTTTCCTTTTTCTTGAGTGACACTTTAAAGGTTGCCTGCAGAGTCTGGGCTGTGTCCACAGCTCATTCGCCTGATTTTTCCCTGGAGCTCTGCAAGGTGTTTTTGAGTACGTTCTCAAAATGTTTTTTATTGTCCTAACGCTTTGGATACTGCAGGCGAAATCCTTGCTTTGAGATCTGTGAGATCCAGCTTCGTTCCACCATGAAAGGGCAAATACTGGATGTTTAAAAACTTCATGTTACTGGAGATGAAAAAAACCTTAAAATTATCTTTCCTTTTGTGTGTTTCATCCTATGCTCTTGATTCAACTGAATCTCTCATCTCAGTCCAAACTAAATCTTATCATTTTCACCAAGGCTGCCTCTTGATAGGTATTTTTTTCCTAAATCTCCATAGGCCACTTAGACCTTGGCAACTGGTGCTTTATAAAAACTTAGAGGTGACCAGAGCCTTATTGCATTGGGTTAACTCCTGCAGGTCCTAAATAAAATAATCGGCGTTGCCCTCCATGATGACCATCAGCTCCTTTTTGGTTTGCAGAGCATGTGCTTAAAATAATACTGGTTTGAATGACTTCCAACAGGGTTCAAAGGCTGTCTGATTTATTCACCTACCTCGTGCAGGAGTTTGCCCTTATTCATTAAATCTGGCTATTTTAAGCACCTTTGTAGGTGCTGCATGATCTTTTAAAATGAAGATAACTGAAGTAGGGCACCGCTAATTCCCCTGAACTGAGACAGAGGTCCGAATAACGTGTCTAGGATAACACAGGAAGGCTGTAGCAGAGCTGAAAACTAAGCCCAGCCTGGTAAGTCTCACACTGACCACTCAGCCCCTAACAATCTTAATTGATTGTTTTCAGATTATCTAGGATTCTTCAATTAAAGGCCAATCCTGCATGTCGTTGTGTGTTACACTAGCTGATTCCAGAAGCTTTGATCATTTTAAATAGAGGATCAGCTTACTACGTGATTGGGTTAATCTGCTGCGTACATGCTTTTATTTCTTTAATACTATTACTTCCTTGGGTGATCTACAGAATTCACAAGGCTGTTTTTGCTTCCAGATACCACAAGGCAGCCAAGACCCGGAGAAGTAAATGGCAAAGGTGAGTGTGTTGCAGTTGGGCCTGTCTCATCAGACTCGGCAAATAATTCCTCTGAAAAATTTTAAGTTTTTATGTGAAGTGCATGCATGAATCCCCACTAGCAGATAAGTTAGTCCTACATTTATGTTTATAGGATGCATTTCCCTAGGCAGGAGGAGCAGACATTCAGTAATGATATATTTGAGCGTGTGTGTGTACGTATATACACACGCACACACGATTTTGTTCTTGATTTCAGCGGCAATAAGACCGTAGCCGTTTACTGCTGTTCTGCAGCGTGTGCCATGCATTGGAGAGACGATAACGAAGAGGGATGGACTTGGCAGAACAAAACCAAAATTTAATTAAGTGGTGAAATGTTAACAGAGGCAGAGCACATGCTGTCAGTTTTCTTTTCTAGACACCGTCTCTGTGACTTGCTGGCCAAGGTTTTCAAAGCGGGGCTCTCAGTTTAAGCACCTTGGTCCATACCTGGTCATTGAATGGCTTGGTTTTCTGAAGTGCCGGGTAGCTCTGGTGAGGCACCTCAAATGTGCCCTGGTTTAGAAAATGCTTGATGAGATGCCTTTATCTGTATTAAAGCTTGTGTGCAGCTGGCCAGCTGCTTATCTGTTTTCTGGTTTGTTTGCATATTTCGGAAAGAATCAAATGAGGTTTGCACTTAATTTCTGAAGGCAGTTTTCACTGAAGTGAAAGGGGGGAATTTTAACAAAAGATAGACAAACATTCCTTTCTAGTTCGTTTGTTTTTGATCTTCCCTTTTATCTCCCTCTCTTTCTTGTCCCATTCTAGTCTTTAATCATAAGTGCTTTCAAATTGAGGGCCTTGGCAGTCCTTCTGTAATGTGTTCCACACCTGGGGGAAGTGGGGGGGAGGGAGTTTCCCACTGCACCAGAAAGGGGAAAGGGTATGAAAAAGGGGGTACAGCAGCATGTCTGGCCACACAGAAAGCTCCAAAACATTTTGAGCAGGTTTCTGGGCGATTGGTGTGGAGGGGGGATGCTGTATACAGTAATTACGAAGCAGGTATCTGCAGTCTGCCAACGTCCAAAGCGGATTTTAAGGTGCTTCTCCCCTAAGCACCTATGGGTGTCATTTTGACCATGAGCTGTACCTTCAAAGCTGTTAATTTCTGGCTATTTTTCCTATTTTCCCTATCCAGATTACCACTTTGTGACCAGAGAGGAAATGCAGAAAGAAATTGATGCTGGTGAATTCATCGAGCACGCAGAGTTCTCTGGAAATATGTACGGGACGAGGTATGCAGTTCAGACGCTGTCGCTGCTGAACAAAGGAGCTGAGATGATGGTGAAGGAAGAAAGTATTTTAACTTAGTGACACTGTTTTCCCCCAAACACACAGATTCTTGCCGTAAGCAAAGCCTTTCATTTTGATAGCGGGATCCTTGTCAGCTTTATTAAGACGGCAAAATTAACTCTTGCAGAGAATTAGCTCATCATAAATCATCGTTGCTTTATGAGATTCTCTGTAGCCTCCAGTGTTTGAGGGCTGCTGAAGTAGTTCATGTGCTTAACGCTTTTCTTGCACAGGGGTGATTTTCACAGACTATTTATGGTCCTTAATATTTTAGAAGTGCTTGCAGAGAGCAGTGGGCAGAATAGAGACTTACTCTCATTATCCCTATGTTACCTAATGGTCTGAATACGATGAATTCAGGAGCAGAAGCGATGATATCTGTATTGGCTGTTGTGAAACAAGTATGCGTGCTGCTTTGGTAAAGTGGCTGTTTACAAATAGATAAATTGCATGGCACCCTTGACTGGGGTTAAAGAGTTAGGCGGATTTTAAAATAGCATTGCCCTGGGCATTGGAGCTGATGATCGATAAAACATTAAGCTGCAATGTTAATTAGAAGTCAGATATCTTATATAATTATTGTAAGAAAATTGTGGTGCTATAGTAAAGGACCTGCTAATGAGGAAAGTTAAATGTTTCCTGAGATATTTAACTAGTTGCATTAAAGAAATTTGCCTGAAACGCTTTTCAGGAAGACTTACATTTCTTAAAGAGCTGAATGGGCTTTTTTGAGGATTTTTTGGAGACGGCGAGGTTAATTTCTGAGGATGGTTTCCTTACGGGAGGTGCCAACACAAGGCCCCCAGACTGAACGTGCTGTAGGTGTACGGTTCTGAAGGAACGGTCGGTGATTTTGCATTTCAGTAACGTAGCTGTTTTAATGTGACATGTACAGGCGTCACTGCTGTCACCGCAGCTAAGGGCAGCCTCGCAGGGGTCTGGCCATGCTCCCTCTGGGGCTGATGAAGAAGCACAATCCCCTGCCCTGGCCTTGATACTTCCAGTGTCACTGGTTTGGCAAGAGAAGCGAAACCTGACAGCTCATCTTCCAAATACCCAGCACCAAGGAGAAACTGAGTTCAAGCTCCTTAATCCCTGGCTTCATCCTGCGTAGGACAGGCTTCCTTCCTTCACGTGTGTCCTGCTTAATCCAGCTGGCCGCAGCATGGAGGAGACGGCTGCTTTCTGATGCCTGATACGTAGGTGGAGTTGATTTTGGTGCCTTTTCCTCAGGGTGGGTGCTGAGAAGACCTCTCTCCTCAGCCGATTTCCTTGAAATCTGCAGGAATCTGATACTTTAACCACATTAAATGATGTGCTTGGGTTTGTTTCTGAGGTGCTTTTCTCCCTGGTCCTCACTTTCATCTTTGGTCCACTCTGCACGTTCACGCTGCCTGTGCTCTGCCTGTGGTGATGGGCGTGCAGGGTGGGAGGCTGAAATTAACCCAAACCATCTCAGCAATAAAGACCAGTTTGCAAACAAAATAAATACAGAAACTCTCCAAGCCTATGTTTCTTTTACAAGTGCCTAAGAATGTTTCTAATCAGATATGTGATAAAATGGAGAGAGTCCCTCATGCTTATCAGAATAGTTGAAGTTTTCGCCAATCTTTTCTGCTCCCTAAATCTCATCAGCTAACAATAATGAATAACTAAAAATTAATTGCTTAATTTAAAGAGCCCTGAAAGGGCCCTCTCTGTGGGATAGCACTGAGTCCTGCCCACAGAAACCAGAAGTTCTTTGAAGCTGCCTTAAATTAGAGGCTGAAATCAGAGTGCAGGCATGGGGTGTCTTTCTCGGGGCTCCGAGAGCTGCTGGCTCTTTGTAGATCGGTTATAGCAGGAGTTAGTTGATACCACGTGAAGCCTGCGACTTTCACAAGGCAAACCAAGCCATTTTGGGGAGTTTTTGTGGATTTGCGGTGCTCAGATACGGGCTCTCGCTGCTGCCCACCCGGGTAAGGTAGCAAAGCTCTGTATTTCTATAGAGCACAGTGCTGGTCTCGCAGCTTCGCTTCAGCTTTCTCCTTCCTGTTGGGGTTTGTGACCTGTCTTGTGGGACTGCCGGGTCAGGAGGAAAGTCACCAGCCACCTCCATCCTCCTGCGTGACCCCATCACGGCAGTGTCTCTGCAGGCAGCAGACCCTGCTGCACTGACCAGACCAGCTGCGGGACCCCAAGGCTGCCTGTCTGCCTGCTCTTCCTCACCGTCCGGCGTGAGGAGGTCACGGCATCGCTGTGTCAGGCTGCTCCTTTGCTCATCTGTGTTCGCTGGGGCTTTTCTGGGCTTGCAGGCTCCTAGAGGTCTTTACAGCTTTCGGCTCTGCTCTGCGTTCCTCCGAGAGGCACCTTCTGCTCGCGCTGCCTCTGTCCTTTCTGGCTGCGTTTGCAGGGAGCTGTCGTGAAGCTGCAGTACCCATGGCTTCAGGACTCTCCGTCTGTGCTGCCACATCTTCCTCTGCACACCCTGCCAACAGCAGTGCTATGGTCACGAGCAGCTGCTGCCTGACACCCATTGGTGCTTTGCCTTCGTGCCAGTGAAGACCCTGTCTTCTCCAGCTGGCACAGCCAGGAGCGTGGCTGGTGAGAGCCATGGGAGAAGGGCTGGGGGTCCCGAATCCTGTTTCGCTGGAGCTGTGACTTCCTTTTCCTGGGGCGTAGGACAACACAGAAGCATTTGTTTAAGGGAGTCTGTTTTCCTGCATCAGGGAGCAAACCCTGATGGTGCAGGGAGACGGGGTGAGGTCCAAAGAGGTGCCCTGGGTATGGGCAGGGAATCGAGCAAGTTGGAGGCTGGCTGTAGGGCAGCGTTTTCTCTTAATCTCTGCTTCCATTGCATGACCTCCTGACTTCACGACCTCAAAACCTGCAGTGCCACCTCTGAACTCCTGGCAGGGCTTCTCTCCACACTGTCCCATCATGCCACAGAGCCCTGGCTTGAAGGAGAACCTGTGCCCAGCACTGTGCAAATACTGACTGAAAAACCTCCCAAGAGGGCTGCTGCCCAGTTACTAGTCCAGGTACCTCCAGTGCACCAGGAGAGGGTTGGCGTTGCTGCTTTTCAAGGGAGAATTGTATGTGTTCAGGAACAACTCGAGGCAATTCCCCCGTGTTGGGGAAGAGATACCGTCTTTAACGACATGCAAGAACCACCACTTAAAAAATAATTTCTTAATTGTGCATCTTGCGACCCAGGCAGGAGCATCCATCTCCATCAAGCATCCTTCAGGAGAGCGCATGGATACGGAAATTGGTGGATCTCTGGAAAAGGAAAGTTCTCGGCGTTTTTGCTCTTTGGTGAAGGTTGATCCTGTGTTTGTTGAAGGCAGGAGCTTTACGGACCATACCTGATCCACACTGCTTAAGGGATAGTCGCACATTATCCATTTCCACACCTTCCATCGTGGTTTTGCCAGGCTCTCCAGCAGGAGGCAGCAGGTCCCTGCTCCACCCCAGAGAGCCAGCGGACACTTGGGGAAAGAGAAACTGTTTAGCAAGAGCAGAGCAGGCGCTCTCTTCTCTCCTGCCACAATTTGGGCCCTGTGACGTGAAGACCTGCTGCTGGAGGGGGACACACCAAACCCCCACTGCTATGGTTTGTACGCTCAGACCCCTTCCTTCTTTGCTCTGTCCCCAGTAAAGGTGCAGTGCAGGCTGTTCAGGCCCAGAACCAGATCTGCGTCCTCGACATCGACATCCAGGGCGTGAAGAACATCAAGAGGACAGACCTGAACCCCATCTACATCTCCGTGCAGCCTCCGTCCATAGACATCTTGGTGAGCGACCGCCTTCCTTTGCCGTTAGGCAGTTAGAGGTAATCAGCGTCTTGCTCTGAAGCGATGGGGGTTCCCCCCTTGTTGATTCATCTGTATCTTTTTAAGGGCCATAGAATAGGGTGGGAGCAACCTCTGCCCAGTCTGACTCCCCAACCTATGGCTCCCAGGGATAAATCTTCCTGTTTTTTGAGTCTCTCTTGTACAGTTTCCACACCTCGGCGTGTTTGCCTGCCTTGGGTTATAGACTCTGTTGCAGCGTGGCCAGCCTTTGAAGGCATTACTTGTGCTTATGCTGGGGAGAGAAGGAGATTTTTGTGCTGAGACTGGCTTCCAGATATTAAAGTTAAACTGAGGGAGGCTGGTTCTCTGCAGCACTGGAAATCCTATACCCCTCTGGTCTTATGAGACCCTATATAATATCATAGTCTGCCTCTGGAAGAAGTGAAGTCGCTGTCATGGTTCAGGGAGGGATGCAGACACACACATGCAACTTGCTGAAGCCATGCAAGGAGTACGTGGCAGAGAAGCCCGTGACTCTTGGCTCTCCCCTCTTGCTCTCAGTACATCAGGCAGTCTGTGTTTCTCATGGAGTTTGTGAAGGAGGGAGCCAACAGCACTAGATGCCAGAGCCCAGCAGAGAGATTTCATCTCCCAGCAGTACCTGCAAAAAAAAAAAAAAAAAAATATACAGGGGGAGGAAAAAGAGACTGGGAACCTGAGCTCTGGGTAGGAGATCTTGAGCCCAAACCCAGCTTGGCCACTGGTTTGCTCTGGGCTGTGAATGAGGCCCCTCACCCTTTGCAGAGTGTTATCTCACGTGCCCGCAGTAGCAAATGGCAGACAGCATTGGCTTGTGGGGTGGATGGTGGTTTCTGCGTGGATCATTTGGAACACGCATTTCTTTAATATGTTTGTCACTGGCTTTAGGAAAAAAGACTACGTGACCGAAAGACTGAGACAGAAGAAAGTTTACTGAAGCGTTTGACTGCAGCCCGCGTCGATTTGGAACTTAGTAAGTCTGGGGGCCTTCGAGTGATGTGCGCAGGGAGAGGGGATGCGTTGGTGATTTAGGAGCTGTTTTTTGCATGGACATCTGACGTGTTCTCCAAGGAGTGCTGGCAGGGCTTGGACATGAGCGGAGTTTGATATAAGCACCATTTTGCATCGTTTCCCACTGCAGTTCTTTGTGGGTGGTTGGCAGAGAAGCGCATTATCAGTGGCTGAAATGGTAATATGAAAATGCCACAGGAACTCAGGTCGTGCACGAGAGATGACACAGGGAAGGAACATGTTCTCCTCTAACTCCTCTGTCCTCATCTCCTTCCCTAGGTAAAGAGCCTGGCCTGTTTGACTTGGTCATTATTAATGATGATTTAGAAAAAGCCTATTCCGAATTGAAGGAGATGCTCCTGGAGGTGAGTTGTTCAGAGCTTTTCTGCCTCGTTTCTCGGGCAGGCATGACCTCTAGGCTGAGCAGGCAAGGGTCTGCCTACAGACAGCCACAGAAATGTGACCTCCTGCCCACACTTGATCTATTTTGAGCAGCCGAGTGACATAGTTGAGCACAGATCGTGTATGAGTGATGACGGATCAGTGGCCTAAGAGTGGGAAACGGATCTAGCGCGATACTGGGGCAAAATAAACATACATCCCTGGACAGTATGGAAGGGGTGTGCTATTTCTGAAGTCAAACCTTGCCTTGTCCCTAAAGGCTCGTGCATAAACTCTGGGCTTGGTCCTGTGATGCTGTGGACCTGGTCTGAGGAGATGATCGCTTGTGGTCTCCAGAGCTGTGAAACTACAAGTTGTTCCCGAAGAGTGGCAGACGCTCAGTTGTTTTTGTTTTCGTGATCTCCTTGCAGGAAATCAAGAAGACCCAAGAATCCAGGAATTCCTGAGCTGAGCCTGCTTGGACGTTTCAACTTTGCACATCATTCCTGAAGCGCGTCACACCATTTTATTCTGAGAGACATTCCCTTTAGGCTGATCCTCCTCCCAAGTTACTCTAGGATGTTTCTATTAAAAGGAAAGAAAACGAAACCCGCTCACGCTTGTGTTTCTGTTCGCCACGCGCTCGGCGTGGGCTCTCCCAGGTTGGTACCTCAGGCGGATGCTTCGGAAGCGATCACACGGCATCCACTGCCGAAGGGCAGAGCCGTTCTGCGAGGCTGTAGAGGAGCTGTCTGGGCAGCTGCGGCCCCAGCACGTGGCTTAGGATCTCACTGCGATATTTGTGGAGGTACACATTGTGCCCCACTAATGCCACTATGTAGATTAACGTGACCCCCACTTCCACCTGCAGACAGAAGGGCTCCCATCTTTATGGCTCCTGGTATCACACGTGTTGGCATCCTCTTGCTCCCTCTGGTTCCTGCTTCCTTTTGCCGATCTGGCTACGGCTCCTCCAGGCGTTTCCGATCGTCTGTGCCTGCCACCCTCAGCCTCTGCGGTGTTTTGTTGTGTCGCTGTGGCAGAGCAGCACGTCGGCATGGCTCGGCTGCTCTAACCGCAGTCCCTGTCAGGAGATGGGTTTGTTTAATAAGCCGAGAGAAGGGAGTGGTTGCAGGATATCATCTATCCGCTGTCCTTTTTTCTGGGGGAAAAGCACAGTGAGCTGCTCCTCTCTGCCATCCTGGCAGCAGTCTTGTAATTCACATGTACGTGTTGTTCCACTTGAGTTTAGGTGCAGGTAGATTTTTAAATGCTCTTAGACCTACAAGTTGGGGGAAAAAAAGAATTCCTTCCCAAGCTGTGCAGCCTTTTTGGATGACATGCTTGAGGGCAGCAATAAATAAATCCCTTTTCCTAGGAGGGATCCGTTCGATCTAGCCATTGTCCCACGAACTGGTCTGTGGCTTGAGACGTGGAGAGCTTTGCGTGATGGGGACTGGGAGGACGCTTTGCACTTCACTTCCCCAGCTTTCTTCAGCCTTAATGTTGATGCTTTCACGTCACTTCTGAGCACTTTGGTCCCTCCAGCAGGTTGTATCCTGAGCCTCCTTGGAGGGGTTGGTTCCTCACTGAGCCCCTATATTCAAAGCACCCCAACCTTCGCCAGAGGTAAGCGTGGGAGAGAGACGAGCCATGTTGCATCTGGTACCTCCAGGTGGTTCAACTGGTTTTGGGCTGCAGGGAAGGAACAGTTGCTGTGAGCAGGCGTGCGGCACAGCCGCTGGCAGGGTCTCTCGTCCTGGAGGACGCAGGCGGTTTGCGTTTGATCCTCGAGAAATGGCGAGTCCCGCAGAGCTGCCATCCCATGGGTGGTGGCTTCCAGCCGTCTTCTCCCCAAACCGAACCCAGATCAAGCTGCCATCGTGCAGACCACGAACGGCTGGACCGTGCAATGCCAGGCTGTGATATTTTCTCACCAAAATCACGTCTTACAGGGCATGGTTGTACCTTAAACTCAGCTCTTGGGTTTCATCCTCTTCATGTCCCATCTCTCCGGCTTACCCAGCTGCTCTGCTCTCCCACACCTGCAGTCCCTCTCAATCCAGCTCCATCCTAATTTACCAAGCTCCATCATCCACATTGTGGACACCAGTAAGCAGAACCAGACCTTGGGCAACCCTTTTAGTACCTCGCTTGCATTTAGAAAGATGATTTGATGATTATTTTGATCATTTGCCTCTGTTTGGGTGTGTAAATATATCTCTTATAGATTACACTGTGAAATCTGCCTTTCTGTTGTCATGAGTTTTGTGTGGCGAGGTTCTAGCTTTGGTTAAACAAGCAGGAAAAAATGCTCCCCAAAAATTTTCTGGGGTGTACCTGCTTCACAGCATCTGGTGTTCCCCATCCTGACGGTGTGAGTCGCAGGGGCCAGCCTCTTCCTGCAGTGGCGAGCAAGAAACTGTCATTTTTTTCCTGAATTGTGGGGTTTTGTTATGTTTTGAGGGACGCATTTGCAGTGGGGAAACGTCCCCTCTAGATGGCAGAAACGACAGCAGGAAAACGCAGGGGGCCCGCGCAGCGGAGCGACGAAACGCCGAGGTGCGGGACACAGTGCTGGCCTCAGTCCGGTGGTCTCCGGCCCCACCGCGTGGGACCTGCGGTGCTGTCACC